AACTGCAGGAAACAGAAAACCCTTGTTGTTTTTATTTTCTCCAGAGAATACTTTGTGAAAAGATCTTTAGCTCCTGGTTTCAGACTGGCAGTGATGTGCTATAAACATAACTGTACATGCAATATCCTCAAACTGATATAAAATCGGCAAGATCTATTTCTATCCCACACTGTAGCTGACTGTATCCTCTTTTTTGGTGAATATTGTACATCTGTCAGCAGTGAGTGAGCAGAACTGTGAAGCCAATCTTATCTTTGCTCAGTCAAAAATAATGTGCATTTCCTTATTTCACATAATGAGAAATAAATAAATAACTAGCACATGTAATATTTACAATCTTCACCGTCTAATTTTAACATCTTAGCATGCTAACATTGGCTAATTATCACTAAAGGACTACAGCTGAGGTTCATGGGAATTACATTTTTAACATGTTTTAAGGATTAAACATTAGTATTGGAGAAAACGATTTTATCCTGATAAGATGACAAGTCAAGGGACTCCAAAATGGTTCCAATATATCCTTAGGGGATTATAAAAATGTGTACCACATGTAATTCAATAAAACCTCCCAGTGGTGCTAAGGAAATGTCTAAACATAATAATGTCCTGGTCCCTGTGGTTTTAGAAAGTTTCCCTTGGAAAGCGAAAATTGACCTGCTAGTGGGGCTACAGGAAAAGACAGGGGATCGCCAACCAGTATGCTTCATCTTCTGGGAACAACATATCCATACAAAAGTTCATGTTAATCGATCTAATAGTTTCTGAGATATTTCAGCTTGATCCATAAAAGTGAACCACATGACCAACATTGCCAGCCATAAGAAACAGTGTATGCGTGGCTAAAAAATATGATACAAGCAAAGCTCTGGAATGAGAAAAAATTATTTTAATTTAGATTGCAGATTAATCAGTGACATGTATCTATTTATTATTAACTTATTGTACTTGCAGCCCTTCTCACGGGCAGTTTCTCCTCTCCCCGACTCTAACTGGGCATTTGACCTACTTCCAGTTGATTTAAACAGACACATCCAGTTCAGGCAGTCACAGGTCTCAGCTTTTCCAGAAGGAATGTGTTTAACTGATGCCAGAAACGGCTAATTTATTTATCAGTCAGTAATAGTGACCTAGCGTATTATGTGTTGTAGTTTGTATGTTTTTTTTATATGCTGCGAATGGTTAGTATGTGTTCTGTTAAGAACTCAGCACTTAGTATGTAGGACCCAATTGCACGACCCGGGAGACAGAGGGAAAGTATTGGTAAGATACTTTATTTTTCCAAAAACAGGCAAGATGAACAAAAAAAAGTCACTATTGAATCTCAGGTTGAGATGACAAAAAATAAGAACAAAATGAAATTGCTCACGTAGTGAGGAACAAAAACTTATTAAGAGCACAGAGAGCATAGACCTGACTGTGGCAAGAGACAAGACGAACTGACACTGAACACTGGGAGACAGGGGAATTTAAAACACAGGTGGGAACAATCAGGGGCGAGGCTGACGCTGATGAGCACAGGAGACACACAAGAGGTGACAGGTGAAAACAATCAGGAAATTAGACACACCAGGGAAACTAACGACAGAGAGGAAAACTTGAACTTCTTATATAATGGACCATACAGCTTATATACAGTGGGGCAAAAAAGTATTTAGTCAGCCATCAATTGTGCAAGTTCTCCCACTTAAAAAGATGAGAGAGGCCTGTAATTTTCATCCTAGGTATACCTCAACTATGAGAAACAGAATGAGAAAAAAAAAAAAAATCCAGAAAATCACATTGTCTGATTTTTAAAGAATTTATTTGCAAATTATGGTGGAAAATAAGTATTTGGTCAATCACAAAATTTCATCTCAATACTTTGTTATATACCCTTTGTTGGCAATGACAGAGGTCAAAAGTTTTCTGTAAGTCTTCACAAGGTTTTCACACTGTTGCTGGTATGTTGGTCCATTCCTCCATGCAGATCTCCTCTAGAGCAGTGATGTTTTGGGGCTGTCGCTGGGCAACATGGACTTTCAACTCCCTCCAAAGATTTTCTATGGGGTTGAGATCTGGAGACTGGCTAGGCCACTCCAGGACCTTGAAATGCTTCTTACGAAGCCACTCCTTCGTTGCCCGGGCGGTGTGTTTGGGATCATTGTCATGCTGAAAGACCCAGCCACGTTTCATCTTCAATGCCCTTGCTGATGGAAGGAGGTTGTCACTCAAAATCTCCCGATACATGGCCCCATTCATTCTTTCCTTTACACGGATCAGTCGTCCTGGTCCCTTTGCCGAAAAACAGCCCCAAAGCATGATGTTTCCACCCCCATGTTTCACAGTAGGTATGGTGTTCTTTGGATGCAACTCAGCATTCTTTCTCCTCCAAACACGTCTAGTTGAGTTTTTACCAAAAAGTTCTATTTTGGTTTCATCTGACCATATGACATTCTCCCAATCCTCTTCTGGATCATCTAAATGCTCTCTAGCAAACTTCAGATGGCCTGGACATGTACTGGCTTAAGCAGGGGGACACTTCTGGCACTGCAGGATTTGAGTCCCTGTCGGCGGAGTGTGTTACTGATGGTAGCCTTTGTTACTTTGGTCCCAGCTCTCTGCAGGTCATTGACTAGGTCCCCCGTGTGGTTCTGGGATTTTTGCTCATTGTGATCATCTTGTGATCATTTTGACCCCACGGGGTGAGATCTTGCGTGGAGCCCCAGATCGAGGGAGATTATCAGTGGTCTTGTATGTCTTCCATTTTCTAATAATTGCTCCCACAGTTGATTTATTCACACCAAGCTGCTTACCTATAGCAGATTCAGTCTTACCAGCCTGGTGCAGGTCTACAATTTTGTTTCTGGTGTCCTTTGACAGCTCTTTGGTCTTGGCCATAGTGGAGTTTGGAGTGTGACTGTTTGAGGTTGTGGACAGGTGTCTTTTATACTGATAACGAGTTCAAACAGGTGCCATTAATACAGTTAACAA